AGGATGTGCACCATCTTAACACTGAATTACTTTGTACATCAAGCATACACTGGTAAATAAGTCATGAGTATAAAACTTAGGTAAAAATGTTAAAAGTCCTTTCATTTCCCCACTGAAACAAGTAAATACTACTATTGTTCCTGGATATCAACATGCATATAGTATTCCATAAATCAGGAGAATATTTATATTTGCACAGATAAGAACTCAAGGAGTTACCTAACTCTGCACTTTATGCTTATTCATTACAATATATTTACAAGATTACCTCTTATTTCATAAATACAGTACAATATAGAATATTTCTACATTAAATACAAAGACATCATCTTGTAATTATTTTCAATTGTTATACTTTACATTAATTTCAGTGCCATAACAGTCAGTATGTCTTTATTGACATAGAATAAAATTTTCAAAAGCACCTAAATGCTTTTCTTTTCTCCTAAGTTATTTAGGAGCCAATGTCCCATTTAAAATCATTGGATTTTGCTTCTTAAATAACTTAGGCATTTTTAAAAATTCTACTCAGACTTTTTTCTGTAATAAGTTCTTTTCTCCCTAAGCTTTATATTTTAATGATTTTTGTCTTCCCCTGTGTATTCTACATTTTCTTTTCAACTACCAGTAAAGTCTTCCTTTGGTGCAAGTTAATGACAAAGAGCATGAGCAAGTTAATGACAAAGCTAAAATATCTGTTACTGTAGATTATCTGTATATGCTAGCAAATGTTAACTGTTCCTCTATTTTATAATTAATATATTGCTGTTTGTGTAAGAACAATATCCAGTGTAATTAATATACTGTTGCAAGATGCTATACATGTGCGCCTAATATGAATAATCGTACACTGAAACATTATAAAGTTTTAAATATATTCAAATATATTAAATTTTAAAGTATATTAACACCATATCATAATGTCTACACATCAGCGAGAAAAGGTTCGAGTTTTTATTTTTTAAGAAGAAAAGCGTTTTTAAAAGGAGCTTTGCTCTTCCAGGTCTTTCAACAAAGTGGCAATAATATGGAATGATTTGATTAGACAACATTGTTTCACACACCTTAGGAAGCCCACAGGAGGGAATCCTGCTCTGGGACTCAGGAGCTACGCAGCTGAGGAAGGTGGAAAGCACCTTTCCCAGATGCATAACTCCTAAGGTCCATCAGAGTGGGCCTCTCTCCAGCAAAACTTACAAAGTGCACAGCAGCTAATCCTAGCCCCTTCAAACTTTCAAGAAACTCTTTGGGGAAGGAAGCCTCTTTTTGTTATATGTTTGTACAATGCCTGGCACAGTGGGGCAGGGACCTCTAAGTGCTACCGCAATACGTACGATAAATAATAATTAGCTGTTAGCCATGTATGTAAACACAGCACAAACTTTCACTCATCCTTAGCTATATGCAGTACAGACAAAAAATATTGTACACAATGTACTGTGCATACATACCGTGTTAGTTTCACAAGGTCAAACTTGATAAAATCAAAATTACTTAAAACATTAAAAAGCACATCTTCTCAAAGATGGAGGGAGGGAAGGGTTTTTTTCATTCTACTTGAACTCAACATTTGCTGAATAATTTCTTCTCAATCAAGTTTTCCAAAAATTTCAGCTTTGGGCAGAGATTAAGCCTAGGAAATTTCTATGTGAAAATTAAAAATTTCAGAAAAAGTTCTCAGCAACTGAAATCAGGACCTTAGTTTGGAACAGAAATGCAACCTTGATTGTAGTGGTCACTGCTATTCCTTCTATAATGTAATTTTAGTGTCTATTCTCCTGAGATTTCCTGAAGAAAGATGGTTCAGAGAGGGGTGGCAAGGAAGACTAAGTGCAAAGACAAATTCTCATAGGAAGAGACTTTAAATTTTTTTAACTGTTAACTTTAAAAAGGAAGCAAAAAGAGAGGGGACATGATAATATATATGTAAAAGATAATGAATGGTATAGAGAAAGCAGAACAGAAGAACAAGGGGATACTCAATAAAACTGAAAGGTAGCAAATTCAAAACTGATAAAAGGAAATACTTTTTCAATCAGTATATAATTAGACTGTGGAACTCATTGCCACATGATGTAATGAGGTCAAGAATTTACTAGGATTCAAAGAGCGTCTTGATCATTGTATCAGAGTTATAATAGTTAATGCAAAAAGGAATTTGGAAGCAAAAAAATCTCATGCTTCAGTACTTAAACCAGTCGCTAACCAGTGAAGATTAGAATAAGACCTTCATGCAGAGCAAATTAACCCACAGCTGTCTACTATAGGATTTTTTGCATCTTCTTCTGAAGCATCTGGTGCTGGTAATTGTCAGAGACAAGATTCTGGACTGGATGGACCACGGGTCTGATCCATTATGGCAATTCTTATGTTTCTGTATTATAGAACACCATACTTGTTGTAGTAGGTTAGCACAATAGGGATAAAGATAAGGGAATTGTTATAATCTAATTGTATTTGCTTTTTAGGTTTTTCAGAATGGTAACGTATATTAATGTGTTTTGGTGTGTTTCCTTTATTTTTAGTGACTGTATTGTTTACACTGACATTGACTTTCATGTAAAATGTGTTATACTCAGTAACAAAATCTCATGTTGATATGTCATCAACTGTACAAGATTTAGAAAACTTACCATAAACACAAGTGAATCACAATTGAATGATATTGTTATTGTCAAAAGGCTTTTATGGGAATTTTTACTTTTACTTATCTAAAGCCTGTTGGAGTAGATGTAAACCATTCTCTGACTTATATCTCTTAAAGGCCTTTAATAAATCTGATGTTACTAAGCAACTGCAAGTGTTGTATGTTAGTGTCACAGTAACAGGGCTAACTGCATCTCTGTCCCCTTCCTGGTTTCTCTGAGCACACATCCTCATGTGTTTGGCCTCATGCTTTTACATCTCTTTTGGCAGAATTTTGCAAATCTCCCACTCTTAGGCCTGGTCTATACTGGGGGGCGGGGGGAAATCGATCTAAGTTACGCAACTCACGTAGCTGAAGTCGACATACTTAGATCTAGACGTGATAAATTGATCCCCGCTGGATCGATCTCTGCCTGCCGATCCGGTCGGTAGTGAAGACATACCCTTAGATAGGGCCCTGGACTGCAGTACCCTGTATATCCACCAACTTTACCGTGCAGGTCTGTCTGCATTCAAGCACCTGCAGTTCTTTCTTTTGAGAACTATGATCCGTGGTACATAATGACCAAACAGCCTCCTTAAAAACCAAAGCATTGCTTATTTTGTTGTAAGAACAAAGCTTTTTGAGAAAAAGGATTTTGAAGCAACAAACAGTCTAAGCAATTGTCTATATTAGCTAGAATCCTGCCATCCTGTGATGGAGACATGAGCAGGCCTAGCTTCTCCTGATACCCCCTGTGTTTGTGGGCTTTGAACCTACAGGTCAAAATCAGTCCTCAGCAGGAGACAGAGGCAAACTCATCAGAGCTAATAGTTCTAGCATTGTCCCTTAACCACTGTTAAGTGTTTACTAAGGTGGCTATCTTAAGCCATTCTTTTCCTTCCTGCCTGTATTCCCATACAGCCCTCTAATAAATTAACCCAATAGATTCATACAGCAAACATCCCAATAATCAGGCTAACGTACAATATTCATAAATTATCTAAAAGCAGCTCCACATCTGTCACAGTTAGATACTGTTCAAGTATGTCGACTAGCGCCATAGCTTATTAAGTTGCAAAAATATCTTTGATTTGAAGTTAACTGGAGCTGCAGGTGTTCAGCACTTCTGAAAATCCGACCAATTTTATTTAGGAATGTAATTATGGATGTAGGACCACAGCTTCAGTCACTCAGGTTTGAAAATGTTGGCCATAATTCTTATGAAAATGACCAAGTCAGGCATGAACACATATTCATAACCGGTATCTGATTCTGAGTGGGTGCAAACAATACAGGTTATAGGTTTCATATAAAATCAGATGCCCACGTTTGATCATACTTCCATAATTAATTGCACCCAGAGTTGATTGAAAGTGAAAAATTAGAGGCAGTGCTCAGGTTCTTTGATCCTAAACACTAAGATCTTGATAGTGACATTCCCCTGTGCAAGAGTTGAACACAATTGTAGTCCTAGCATTACTAGGTTGATTTAGGTTGGATTTTTTTTTAAAATTCTCCCTTTATTGTTCTAGCACGGGAATAACTCCACCAGTGATAGCAGCTCTGGAAGACAAGGCCCTGTATTTTTGACTCAGTGTCTATCCCTGTTCAGAGCAGATCTAGATTATGTAGTAGTAAAAATACCAGCAGCCATCCCACGCTAGCATTCCCACTGTTAGCACCAGAGGGGTCACATCAGTGATACAGATATGGTGGGAAATTTTACAGCAAATCTTGAGTGTAGACAGCTTTCTATAGATTAGGGCCTCAGATGGGGAGAGTCCATAGCTCTGTGCAAATGGGAGTGAATGCTCTGTTGCAAAAGGTATTGTGCCTGTTTGAAGCACAATGCCCCAGAGGTCCCAATGGGAAGTCATAACACTGCATTGTCCACACTGCAGTGTGTGGCTTACAGTCACAACTAAATCCCTAAACAGTGTCCATGTGTGTTTAAAACAAATGTATAAACTATCTTGCATCATAAACATTTACTGTTACTTTCAGATAGAATTACCATCATCTTTACATCTAATTCTCAAAATTAACCATCATGTGTGAATAAATCTAAAGAACCTGATATTTAAATGATTGGGCTATTTTTTGTTTTGTCACCCCTACTCAATTTCCTCTTCTTTCTGTGTCACTATTTCTTTCCCACCTGAGTGGTTTTTTTTTCTTTCCTCAGAAGTTGAAAATATGCAGAATTATTTTCATATCAATTTTACAAGGCTGAGTAGAATTGAGCCATACCACAACCATTTAACTTTCAAGCTTTCTTTACATGATCTCATTTATGATGTGAAGTCAGCCAAGAAAGTTGAATTGCACCCTGTTAGATTTTAACCTAACTTTTTAACTCAATTTTTTTCAGGCCTGACTGAACTCACTGACAGTCCAGTTTCCCTGGAGCTAGAGCGTTGCAAGTCTCCCACTTCAGGTAAAGGTGATTGGCATCTCTTCCTGCTATCTGTATGAGCCATTCATGTCATGCATCTCTGTGTTTCATTAATCCCTAGGAAGTGAAGTACATAGTCATTTACATTTATAAACAGCAGATTTTGTTTAAGAGGGGAGAGCTTGCTACATATCAAGGCATGATGCTAAGACAGAACATTTAAATTAAAAGGTAAATTGAAAATGGTGTATGGTAGGGGAAAGACGGATGAAATCATTTGAACTGACAGTTTCTTGAAGCACAATATTCCTGTATTTCACATTGACTCTCTCAATTTTTTTGTTAGAGAATAATTCTTCAGATCATTAGAGAAGGCTTTCTAACTGGCCTTTTTAAGTGATGTTTTCAAAATAGGGTGACTCTGTGTTTTTTTTTTTAATTATATAATAATTTGAAATGTTGACAGAACAAGGAGTAATGGTCTCAAGTTGCAGTGGGGGAGGTTTAGGTTGGATATTAGGAAAAACTTTTTCACTAGGAGGGTGGTGAAGCACTGGAATGAGTTACCTAGGGAGGTGGTGGAATCTCCTTCCTTAGAGGTTTTTAAGGTCAGGCTTGACAAAGCCCTGGGTGGGATAATTTAGTGGGGATTGGTCTTGCTTTGAGCAGGGGGTTGGACTAGATGACCTCCTGAGGTCCCTTCCAACCCTGATATTCTATGATTCTATGATGTGTAGATGGTAAATGTTAACTCTTGGAAGTAGCTGATGTCTAAAGAGCTTCTAGAATTTTGTTATGGAAACATAATATCAAAGAAAGCTCAATCACACCAGCCTCCATCTCTGCAAACCACGGGTTGTCTACCAATTTGCTCCCGAGGGTAAAATCCTGGCCTCATAGAAATTAGTGGCAAAACTGGCGCGGGAGTGGAAGTGTCACAGTTCAGCTCAATTTCCCCTCAGTGGTTCAGCAAGGGCACTCACTTTCAGCTTCCTGCTCCCCAGCCATTGCCTTTCTGGGTGGAGTCCCGCATCTCTCTCCCTTTTGACTGGGGTATTTCCAGGCTGCTCCATTTCCTGCTTTCCATGTGTCTTTCCCAGCATAGACATGTTGCCCAATAACACCTGCTTGCTTGCTTTCAGAGACAATTAGCAGGTGCAACTGGTACAGTTATAAATACCACACAGTTCTTTCTATACAAGCCTATTTTAGTCTTAAGGTAAAAGCGTTACAGAGAAAATGGTAAAAACAAGAAAAGGACCTACTTGCATGCTAATAAGTTTACCAGAGTTAACCCCAATCCTAACATGGATTCTAGCAGGCTCAGTCCTTCCGACCCTACCCTAAGGATTGGGGCCCTCCCTGGACCAGGGCTGCTGGCCTTGAACCAGTTTAAAACCAGGCTATTTATCCAAAACCTCGTTCTATGTCTGAGAGTCCCTAGAGAATCCAGTCTGAACTAGTATATACGTACCTTTCCAAGGAGGTGGCTTCTCTGGAGATGTTACAACCTGTGTGAAATTGCCTAACCCCCCACCCCCCCCGCTTTTCTCCTGTTTATCCTTCCCATGGAAATATGAACAATTCCACAGTAACACATACACAATTGCATTTTTAATTCAGTGAACTCCAAAGACATTGAAACTAATTCCATAAGGTTTAACTTAATTCATTAAAATTTATTCAGGATATTGCTGTAAATTGTCAGTCTGTCAAGCAAGTTCAGCTCTTTCCCTAGGAACTTCCTTTGTAATTGTGAAGTCAGTGTTGATCTGTCCCAGCATGGAGCATTGCCTAGCACTGTCTTCTAGTAGCTGGTCCTTTATATTTGGTGGAGAGAAGCAGCTACAGCCCTAAGGTGGCCATTTTGCCTCTGGTGCTGCAAACAGCAACTCCTTTCCATCCATTTGGTAAGTATTTTTAGCTACTATCCTATTTTCCCTTTCTCTTATTCATGAGGAGGTAAACGTCCACAAAATGCTCTTCAAATCTTCAGCCTTTGGCTCCCATATTTTATTAAACTTTAAAGGGACATGGTCACTCCAAATCTGGCCCGGCAATTAGTATGTTACAAAACCTAAGACCAATATAAATGTTTCAATAACATTTTGAAAACTGCAACAGAATTAGTTATTTTTAAAAAAGAAACAGTCTCGGTAGTATTTTTAACCTAAACTTTGCAGATCTGAAAACATGAAAGTGAAACTGGATAGAACAGTATTGCCAGCCCCAAGAATTCAAAATCATGAGTTAGGCCCCCAAAATTAGCGAAATTGGCTTAAAAATAACAAATTTGGGATTCTTTTTATTTACCTTCTGGTTTTTGAGCCAGTGGGGTCTGCATTTTCAAACTTTTTCTCTGAGGGCTAGAAATTTACTTTCTCTTTTCAATATAAGCTGAGATTCTCACGTAGGCCCCAACTTTGCAAATCCTTATGCATGTGCTTAACACTTGTAGGGGTGAGGTGCCATTGGGACTACTCATGGTAGTAAAGTTAAGTGCATATTTTTCTAATACTGTCCAAAACTATCTGCTTTAGATCAGTTGATTTCCAGTTATTTTGCACTGGAGCTTACATTTGTTCTGCTGTTTGTCTTTTTGGGAAGCAGTCGTCAGGGTATGTGTTTTATGTGTGTTACCTATCTTAGTTCTTCTAAGCACACCAATATTTATTGTATTTATGTCTTTGAAATGTAAAACTTAGGGCTTGTCTTCACTACCCTCCTGGATCGGCGGGTAGAAATCGATCTCTCGGGGATCGAATTATCGCGTCTCGTCGGGACGCGACAATCGATCCCCAAATCGACGCACGTACTCCACCAGCCCAGGTAGGAATAAGCGCCGTCGACGGGGGAGCCGTGGCGGTCGATTTGCCGCCGTCCTCACAGCGGGCTAAGTTGGATCGGATATGTCAAATTCAGCTACGCTATTCGCGTAGCTGAATTTGCGTATCTTAAATCGACCCCCCCCCCAGTGTAGACCTAGCCTAAGTCACCAGCTGAAATTTTATTGGCAGTGGCTGTCATTCAAAAATACCTCTGGTTTAAAATAAAATGTTTTTTTCATATGAGCCTATTTAATATGTCAGAAAGGGTAATGGATTTGCAAAATGCAAAGATGGTTGTGCTTCAGCATATCAGCTGCAATAGGGGGCAAGTCCGGGGGCCCTCACAATTGGAGTAACTAAACTATGAAAATGGGATTTCCAGGGTACTTATGAGTGGAAAGCCGCAAGAACCACTGAGTAGCTTAATGTAGCCTCAGGGCTTCAGTAACCCTTGTAGCTATTGGTCCTTGCTTTTCTTGAGGAGATGACTGGTGAATCTGCATTGTTATGGATTCACTAGCCACAATCCCGCTAATCCCTTTGATCCCCACAGTGTTCATTTGACATGGCACACAAGGAACCCATGGAACTAGGCTCCATAGCGGTCTCTGCACAGTCCTCTGATGTCCACCCTCCTTAATTGTGCAAGCAAACCACCATCCACTCCACAGAAGAGGCAGTAGGACTTGGTCCTCCGCAAATATATCAGAATCAGAAAATAGATTCAGAGGGCCAGAGTCACTTTCACTGATGCAAGAGGGTGCAAATTTCTCTCCTTGGGCACACTGGACGACTCCCTGTTTCACCTCCAGAACAGAGCATTGTGGCTGGATTCTATCAGGAATCCAGGGACCTTTCAGTTGCAGTCAGGCCTCCATAAGAACTCTACATATGGGGGCTGCTTGGATAAATCATCACATATCCTGCCCTGCCCTGCCCTGCCCCGCCCCACTCCTGGTTTGATCCTATCCAGTGCTTTGGCTGCATTGGCTAACTCCAGGTTCCCCTGAAAAATGGTATTTGCAGCATCAAACCCTGTTCCTTGTGGATTTTGTACTTCTGCCCCTTGGTACTGATAGTGTAAGATCAGGCCTATTAAATATTTAACCCAGGAACACTCAAGAATTCCATACAATTATCTGTTTATACCCCTATTTTTCCACCACCATTTGTCATTTGAGTTGAGTAACTGATGACTCTACTTGTAGAGCCTGTGCTGTGAATATTAGAACCCTGAGTTAATGATGCAGCTCTGATGGAATACTACTTATTTTAAACATGATGACAGTGTCCTAGTTACAGTACAAATCCAACCTGGTCCAGCAGGCAATCATTTAAACCTCTTACCAGGGGTTATCTTTTTACTTAGCCCTGTTGTATGATTTTAGAGGCCACAGGGATGCAATGAATAAAACTGGAAAATCAAAACGCCATCCTGAATCCCCTTTGGACTTAGAGCATGGAATTACATGGCTTGAGGGAAAGATTTCTCAAACTCAGTATGCCACATACTGTCTTTTGAGTAAGAGAAAAAAATTCCAGCCCACACTTTGATGGGGTTTGGCAGGAGACATGGAGAACAGTCTTTTTGCTGGTATGCCCGTGGAATTTGATTAGCATTTAAATGCTAGTGTTGGATTCATGATACTATAGATATATGGGAAATGAACTTTAACAAAACAATTTGGAAAATTCTATTTGTATGTGGATACCTGGGTTGTGGCAGATTGCACAAAAAGTCTTCTTTTAATGGAAACATAAATTAGGAAAAATTGCAGAATGTAAACAGTTCTCTTTTTAAATGTGTCTCTCATGATGACAGTATGGTTTACCATACAGTGACATTTGATTGATTTATTGCCTGTTTAAAAATCTCAGACAGTGGAAAGAAATATGTTGATTGATGTTTTGAGCTCACTCTTTGTGGGTGTTATTATGATGCCTTATTTTAACTCAGGAGTGCAAGATTGAATGAAGAAAGCCAAATTACATTTTTATTTATCATCTGTGATTTGCAGTTCAAAAGTTAAGTCTGTATACTACCTTCAGTCTACCATTGGAACTGTGAGTGCTCAGTATCACTGTGAAAAAACAGACCATAAACTCTGAGGCTTCACATGAAACGTTTATGCCATGAATAAAGTAAACAGGGCTCTACAAAAGCCCATACATAACACATTTTAGGATCAGTGCCTTATTTAGTAAACTTACTGT